GGTCTCCTTTAAGGGAATCCCCAGGTTCATTCCCTCATCCCCTGACAATTTGGCTTCCTTTTGGTTTCCATTCGCCCGGTTCCTTCAACTCATCGCAAGTTTTAGAGGGATGAACAGAGGCACCAGGGGCCGTCCGCATTTTTCGTCGCGAGACTCTTGGCCGGACCATCCGGACGGACGAAAGTCCTGAGCCGCGAGTTTTTTGGTGGAAAGCATGATGAGTCTGGAGCCGGGACCCAGAAGGCTTTGCAAGAAACGAAGTGCGGAAATGCGGCTCGTCGCTCTCGTTGCGTTGTTTCTACTTAGGCAATGTCTTCCCGACATGCCTGGTTGCTGCAAAGAGAAAGGGCACTCAGCGCGATGCCTGTAATTCGGAATCACGAAAAGTTCCGGCACCCACAAAGTCCCCAAATGGACCCACCAGGTCCCAGAAGGGATGGACAAGACGGACACTTCAATCAAGATTACTGGGGCGCGAGCGCTGTTTCGTTTTCACGCGCCGTTTCGATTTCGGCATCTTGTCCGGAAGGTAAGGGTACTGAACGGAAAGCAACAAAACCAAGAACCATGAAGCCCCAAACAAGCTACGAATTCTAATGATGAATATCCAGCAAAGTTGTTGGTGAAGATAAATCCCCACCTAAGTGATGTCCGCAGTTAACATTTGCTCCCAACGAAATGACGGTTATGAGTGTTCATAGTTGAAGAGACGACGTTGAAGCATCGCCTTCTCCTAATCCCAAAATAAATGTTCAAACTGTTTAGGATCAGTGACTTGTGGCCACTCGCAGCATTCCTTCGATCCGAAGTCCGGGAGACTACCAGGATAGCCTTTTGGTGTGTGCAATTCCAAGTCCCCTTGTGCAAACGCGACCTGTGGTGGTGGCTTGCTTTCGGTTGCCCCAACCCAAGCGACAAAGGGGGGGCCGCCCAATGGAAAACGGAACCACAAGGCCCGGCGTAGCCAGGCCGGCGGTGGAGGACACACAGGCTGGGAGCTCCGTATGCATTGGTCTGGATTGGTGGCTTGGGGCATTTGCTTTTAAGAAAGCGGCAATCCCAGTTGCCGTGGGGTCTGCCGGTAAGATCAAGCCAAAAGAGAAGGAGAGACCTGCGCAATCAGAGCTGGGGCAAGTGAAGGTTCATGGCCACTTGCGCGTGCCGATCCGCCCTCTTGATTCCTTGATGGTTTTGGGTAAATACACTCCAATTCACAGGGAACCCCACAAATTGTCCTGTTCAGACAAACCTGCTTGTGTGGGGCCTCCTTTTTGGGTTGCACGGCAGTTTATTTAGTCAGACCACTTCACGTGACTCGACATTCGCCCCGTTCGCTAGGTGGTGGAAGCGCGACGCCTGGACCATGAGGATTTCATGTTGCCATGTGCCAATTGGGGTCTGATCCAACTCTTATGACTCACAGTGCAAGATCGACTAAATACTGTGGTTGGTCGGGGCGGGGTCCCCTAAAAACTTGGGTCCCTACTGTGGATGGACGAAATATATATCGCACCACAGTTCGGAAGCCCTGGAATGATGATGCCTCCCCCTGTAAATACCAACAAGCATTGTGTTTCAACCATGGTTTCAAAGTGGTGCAGCAGTTCGTCCACAGTATAGACCAGAGTCTGATTTTATGTTGCATTTCTTATATTTTAGACCAACACATAGGCCAGAAAGTCTGAATATTGTTTTTTTGGGTTGTGTCCCCAAACTTGGGGCCAAGATAGGATCCAAAATTACGACCTCGTCCCAGAAAAGTGGAATTGGGTGTTTGAGTATGTCTGGATACCGTCCACTTTGCTCTTCGGCTTCGTTTGGCTTCCTCAAAAACACCACTTCGAACCGATTCATGAGGCGACTTGACACGAAACCGATACTTTCCTTGAGGCTGGTCTCGTGAGTTTGCAGAAGTGTTCAGTCAATGAAGTCGACCCCTGATGACTAACACCCCACCACTTCTCACCGGGGGGCTTCCTGTTTTTGTTCTTGGGGATTCCTTTCTTGAGGATCAAATTCTTGAGGACCAAACAATGAAGTGCTCCTTGGGCCGAGGGGCTAACACTACAGTTCCAGCACCCATGGTTTGGTGCACGGGTCCATGTTGGACTGAGCCGCTCCTTCAATAAGGAGCAACTCTGCTCCCAAATCTGCACCAATTTTTGGCAAGCTCGCCTTGGGGTGGGACTGAGCTTGCCCACGATCAGGGCCCCTTCCTTGATCCCTCAAGTGGGGGAATTATTTTATTCAGGTAAGACAACTCTTGCTTGTTTGTTTGTTTGTTTGTTTGTTTGTTTGGTTCGTGGGTTGTTTGTCTCTTTGTTTATGTCTTTTCTTTGGTCTGCGCGGTGGGGCTTTATTTTTTGGAGAAACTTCCCCCCCACAAATCCGATTTCGGTTCAGTCCTTCTTCGGTGCATCGAGCCATGCTGTAGGAGTGCCTGCAAAAGCAGAAGCTCCAGCTGAAATGGGCCGCTGGGGCCTCGGCATGGAGCCGACAAAAACTCCCCCCATCGGGGCCATTCCCCTGTTGGGGGCCATAGCACAGCGCCTTCCGAGGGTAGTGCCGACTCTTTGTTCAACTTTTTGTTTAAAAAAAGGTCCCTTGAAACTCAAACAAAAAAAGGGGTGCCCTTGTTGTCCCATGGCCACCGGTCATCCCTTGAAACTCAACCAACCAAACAAGGGTGCCGGTGCCCCTTTTTTTCCCATGAAAATCCACTGATCTGAGTTCAAATCCCCAAAGCAATCCAAACCAATTCGGGGGATGAGCTGTGAAGGTTACATGAGTTGAACAACCATGGGGGTCAAAGAGCAAGAGTTCGCAGCCAAGAGTTAGCATGCGAATCGTTTGCCCTCGCAACCCCGCCGTTTTCCTTAGAGGCGCCCAGTGAATGTCTCAAAATTGTCTGGCACATTCATGTCCCACAAAAGCTGGCGCCTCGCTGATTTTCCCCTACGCGATCCGCTATTAATACTGGCTCAAGGGACAATTGCCAGACCAGCGCTGCTGCAGGGTACCTCAAGTTTGGGGTCAGGAAAAGACGTCTTTTTGCCTAGGTCACATGGGTCTCTTAACGTTTGGAAGGAGAACAAGCAACGCCCCTCTGACGTCGGCTGCCAAGTACTTTGAATTTGGGGTACACGGGGGTCTTAACGCGTGGAAGGAGAACAAACACCGCCCCTCTGAGGTGCCTTGAATTTGGGGTAAGGAAGAAAACATTTTTTTGCCTAGGTCACATGGGGCTCTTAACACCTGGAAGGAGAGGGTGCCTATGTTTTTCCTCGGTGACATGGGGCTCTTAACGAGAATGCAAACAACGCCGCTCTGACTTGGGCCGCAGGGCTGAACACGCGACAGGAGAAGAACACTGGGGTCTACTCTTTAAACCACCCCCCGAAAGGGCCACACAACTTACAGGAACAGACCCAATCTTCGCGCTCAAGATTTTAAGATTTTCAGACACGCAACATTGACCAAAAACATAAAATACCAGAGATGTGGGGAATGCTGGGAATGCAGCCGGCTAGCCACAAAACAGTGCAAAATACAATGTTTTGTTTAATTATATTTCCCAAAAGAAACCATCAAAAACCGATACTAGCAACCCCCCTCAAATCCAGGGGATGTTTCGCAGTAACTGCTCCATACAGGTGGGGAATTGCAAAAAAACTCATTTTTGCAAATTTCAACAGTTCCTCAAAGTATCACTGCACTTGGCCCCACCCAAGCCCCTAACAGGCCAATTCCAACATCGCTTGAAACAGCAAAACGCCACTAGTATCTTCAAAAAACAAGAGACAAACTCATGGCACCAAAATAATCCTGATGATGCTGGGGATGCAGATCCTGCAGGTCCGGGGAACCCCCCCCCTAAAAACGAAACGCAGATGTTTAGCACGAAAGACGCAAAAAACACTGGAAGATGCAGGGTTTTGGACACCTAGCACAGCATGCCCAAAAATAGCAGTCTCAAAAGCCTTCGGCTTTGATAAGAGATTCCGAAGGAACCAAGTTGCGGACTGCCATCTACACGCCCGACTGGGGTCGGCGGATTTTCCTTTTTTCTAGCTCGGTTCAAATTCCCTAGGTGCTGTTGAATGGCAATGGTTCCATGGTCCTGGCTTGCATATCTGGGAACGTCTCAAATAGTTTGTTTGCAGTCGTTTCTTTTAAGTCAACTCCAAAAGAAAGGTTGCCCTCCACAAAACATCCCAACAAAAACAGCCTATGTTTCCCTGTGACATCTAAAGGACCATCTGCCCACCTTAACATTACCACACGAAGGGCGCCCTGGCAGACCTATGCTAGCGGTGCCACTTCCGACCCAAAAAGGCGACGAATTTAGCGTCACCAGAAGGCCAGTGTTTCGCTGCACTCTCGGGGCACCTTTCATCATTTTCAGGATCCTTCTCTCTAGAATACCTCCAATCACCCAGGGAAAATGCCCGGTTTCTGAGAAGAACGACGGTTGGACAGAATGAGAATCAACCCTCTACAAGTTGTCTTGCTCAGGCAATCTCTGGCAGATGTTCACGTGTGTGTGTGTGTTTTGAGTGGGCAAGCCCCAGAATGATTTTCCCGTTTCCCTTCCCAAGTCCCCCAAAAAAGGATACCCTCCAACACGTTTATCCACGTCATGTTTCGCCTTGGGGAGTTTGACTGGAAGACTACACCCGGAAACAATCCAACCTAAGGGTCATTTGAGGCATCAAAGCCCAAGGGTAAAGAAAGGAGAAGTCCACGGGAATCCTTGGCATGTTGGTTCTTCGCATTGGCTATGGACCTGTTCACAGGTCTTGACTGTGACGAACATGTCTTGGGGTTTCAGGAAGTCTTAGAACCTGGCATGTAGTCAACGTTGGTACTGCCCTTGTCAAGCCTCATGCGTGCCATTTGCACCCACAGGGTTGGACGGAATGGTGCTCTTTTTCCCGGGTCGTGAGACATTCGTGAGGGTGGTTATCAAAAACGACACATGTTTTTTGGAACTCTACAACATGCACGTGGTTATGTATCAAATTGGAGACTGAGATGGCTGGTTTCTCTTCGGGTATCATTCCTTTTATGTTTTTTTTACAACGCCTCCGGCTCAGGCCGCCGACATTAGAGGCCTGCTTTCTTAGTTGCGTCCCTTTGTGCGTCCCTTTGGAATTGTCCCCTTGCCCCCCTTCCCCTCTAAGATGTTTTCCCCCCTTTCCCTGTTGAGCTCCGTTACCCCCTTTCCCCCCTAAGGCCTTCCCCCCCCCCCCCCGAGATCTTCTCCCTTTTCCTCCCTAAGATATATTCCCCCCTTTCCCTGTTCAGATCCTTTCCCCCCTTTCCTTTCCCCCCTAAAGCCTTTTCTCCCCCTGAGATCTTCTCCCTTAGCCCACTAACAGTTAGCTGCTTTCAGGGGATCAGTTCAGCCTACCAGCCTACGTTCGAGTGGCGGTTTTTCTGAAGTTCCCCCCTAAACGAATGACAGGCCCGAAGAGGGGGAAGCTGGTTTCACCTGGAGCTTAGGAGTTGCCGCTGGACCCGCCGTGCCTGGTACTGGTGGTTTGCGGCCTACCCTTGGCTGAGGCGTCAAGTCACGCGTTGCGCACAAGCGCGGGGGGCGGGGGGGGGGGGGCCAAGGGCGCGTTGGTTTGTCGCTGGTCTGCGTGGAAAAAAACGGTTCGATTGTTCTCACTAAAACGGTCCAACCCCAAACAGTTCTGAGTCACTCAGTGATGAGTGACTCAGATGCCCCGTGGCAATGGGAATAAAGAGTGTGAGAATTGGTGAATTTCAAGGGGACCCCTCCCGACAAGTTGAAAAATGAGGGGGACTGAGGTGAAGGAAGTAAGCTGGTCGTTGGTCTGGGGTCGCTGGTCTTTGCTCGTCAAAACATGGAGTCTCAGATGTTGCAGCTCGATCGCCAAATAGGTTCAACGCCATTTACTTCCAGTGGGTGGGGGCCATTTGGTCTATGTTTCCTTGTTGTGGGGCTGGGTGTTGGATTTCTGGGCAAGTGGGGAAGGTCCTAGCAACGGGAACCCTTTTCCAGTCGGAAGCAGGTTTCGACAATTTCGGTCTTGGTTCGGTTGCCTTTCCTTCTAACAAGCAATCCGTGTGAGCAGCGGGTAATATTGTCATTAGTATCGGTGTTGTGCCTATCGTCTGGTTGTCCTTTTTTTTCTCCGATTTCGCAGCTACGCTTTGTAAACATGATCATGAAGGTCACTGGATCCATCCCCATCCCCAATTGATGTATACAGGGGTCCACATCTATTATGAAGGGCGGCCCTCATGATTCTAGGGTTTAAGAGTATTCTCAGTGTGTTCAATTAAAATGTGGCCGTGGCTTCTTTCCTTTTGGTCTCTCCTGCACCACCCACATGGAGTTTTCAACAACTTGGGTACATACCAACGGGCGGCACAAATGGAAACAGGGGATCACGCCCATGACAGGGATTCATCAAAGCCCATTCTTTCCCTTCCCTAGACTTCCACCTTGGCCCTCTTTTTGGAGGGTGTCCCTTTAAAATCTACAATCCAATTTGTTGGTTGCCCCCATAAATGGCTACCCAAAACACTTCCCTATGGTTTCCGCTTGCCTAACGCACCAGGTGCTCGCCCTGCGAGCTGTGAGCAGCTCTGCCTTGCAGTGGGCCTCTTGACACAACTTCCATGCGAGCGGCTCCAGCCACTTTTCTTCTTTTTTCTCGTGGGTGGCAGTTTCTAACGGGGTGGATTTTTTTTTGGTAGTTGTTTATTTCCAGTTCAGCTTTTGGTGGCCTCTTTCGTGAGTTTCCTGGGGTGATGTATCGGTGTAGGGAGCCCTATAACCTACAACGATTCTTAAGAATCAACAGCCCATGCAAACTTCTTATGTTCTCTTGAATGACGATGAACAAGCCGAGAGCCAACATGTTCGATGTGTCGTAGGAAACTTTCTTGCATACACAGCTGTAATTACATACGTGCACCTACGCATATATTCGTTTGAGGGTGCTTGAAGGACCGTTTTGCTCATGTTTCCTTCTTGCCACTAAGTTGGTTTCATGGTTGAGGGATGAGCCGAGCAATAGCTTGGCTGGTCCAATTACTCGTGAGTTTGTTTGGGACATGGGAGAGTCACTGAGTTTTCCACCGAAGCCGGTGGATTCACTCATTTGATCTACCATCCTCTTGGGATGCGACCGTATATGCAACCGAATCGTAGTTTAGATCTTGGAGCCACCACCCCCCAATGAAATGGGCACGACTGTCAAGCAGAAGAAGATCGGAGAATCAGGGTGTAGGCTTGGTGTCGGTTTACGTGAAAGTTGTTCTGGTGATTGTTGGTTTGTTTACCCTTCCAAGAAGCACGTATTGACCCTTTTGGCAGACAGTCCTTGAACTTGTGCTTGTGTACAAAAGCCCAAGTTTGTTGGAGACTTGCAAAGAATGTTTAGAGCAGCCCCTGAAAATATCAAGGTGTTATTTCACCCACCCTAACCCCACCCTCACAAATAAACAAACCCAAAAAGAGAAAAAGAGGGTTTCTGTTTTTGGATGTGTTTTGCGGGTTGTGTGTTTTCCTTACGCTCTGTCGCATGTCACAAAAAGGACTGGGCATCCCACCTGTTGCTCGAGGCCATGACCGGAGCCATCGCCCACCTGGGCGAGGTGTGCAAGGCACCACGGAGTTGACGTGCTAAGGCCGAGGGCCCCTTCTTTTTCCTTCCCCAGAATTTGTTCCCCTTTTTGTTCCCTCACTACTTTATGGGTATCAGATTTGGGGGGTTTAGCTTTGTTGTTTTTTTGCTTATCTCGATTTTTGTTTTTTTTGGGGTTCCCTTTGTTTTCCACTAACCAGGCAAAACAAAAATGCTGGGGTCCTAATTCCAGCCAAGTTTCTTGGCGGTGCGATAGGTAGGCAATGAGTTGGAATGAACCCCCAGAAACCTTTTGGCGCATTTTGCCGAGGGATGTTAGGACTTTAACTTTTAAATCCAACTAATGGGTTTTTTTGTATTAAACCACTAAAAGTGAAACTTTTAGCAGGGGAGCAGAAAGCAACCGAGAAAACATCCCTTGTGGTTTAGGTAGGGAATGAGAAATGGCTCATGATCCCAAGAGCAAAACCCTCCAACTGGTGGTTTCTTTTAAGGGGACCAAAGCCTGGGTGTATTTCATTTCTCATTCCCTACTGAGCACCGGCAAGGTTTGTGGGGCTAAGCGTGTTACTCGGGGGTTTTAGAACCCAAGCGCCTAAGCACTTACTGACTTAACCGAACATCCAAGCACGGTTTAAGGGTACGACGTGGACTCCTGACAAGAAAGGTTGTATTTTCATGAAAAGCGCAGTTGTTCGACATGTGTCCTAAAAATGATGTTCGGAGCAGGGGGGACAACGGAATTGGGGAAAGGTGGATCTCGAACCCGGTTACTTTTCTTTTTTTCTTGTCTTTTTTTAAGTCGGGGAGTTATATACTTTCAACCCAATCATTGGGTCTATAGGTTTCTTCTGCTTGTTTTCTGGTGGGGAGCTTACAAGTTTCAACACGTTTCAACTAGGCCCACTGCAAGCCAAAGACCAGAAAGAAAGAGGGGCCAGGCAAAGAGCTCCAACCGAAGCTGTGCTTCTCTTTTTTATCGGGAAATCCCATGTGTAAAATCCAACATTAGAAGTTCAGCACTCCTCCGTTTTGGAACAGTAGGAAGGCACAGAGGTCTTGACCTCACCCCTTTGGACGGTCAAGCCCAAGTTCAACGTGTGAAGCATCCTGGAACCCATTTGTTACACGTGTTTTGAGAGTGCTTGGCGCTCAGAAAGGGGCCACGAGGTGGGTTGCTTGGCGTTCAGAAACTTGCTGGTGCGCAGGGAATGAGTTGGAATGACCCCTACAAGCCATCCAACTGCTGTTTTTTTTTTCCTAGGGGACTCCTGGGTTCTTTATTCCCTACCTATCGCACCAGCATCCGGACTTCCGGATCCGCTCGATCCGCAAGGCTCACCACCGGATCCGCACTCGCCTCTGGATCCAGCGCCTGGAGGACGGGAAGTCGCTCGGATCTTCGACGCATGTGAGGAGCGTATCCAAAGCTTCCAATTTGCTTAAGAATATTGTTTTTTGTTTCCCTGGTTGGTTCTAAAGGCAATCCATCACTACTGGATGTCTTGTTTGTTTATTTTCAGGGGGCTTAAACAAATGGAAGCAAGAAGTTTACTGGAACCGATGGAGCTATGCTGTCTTTGGGAGTATTAGCAGAAAGATGATATTACTTAAAATACGCATTGCTCGCAGAAAGCATGAACACGCAAGAATGAGGAAAATTCGCGAGAACTAGGGAATTGCAGCTGTAAAAAGTGTGGGGCCCGCGCATCTAAAGCGGGCTCTCCGTGGGCCCAGATCGATCGAGCCCTCGGCCGCCGCGGGCCCGGAGCGGTCATTAGCCTCTGCGGACTTCGGGGGGAAAAAGGCCGTCAAGACACAAACGGAACAAGAGAAAGAGAAGAACAAGAGAAAGATAAAGAGAAACAAACAATTCAACAAGAGAACAATGATAAGAATAATTAAGAATACAAACGATCGAAAAGGAAGAAAGGTATTCAGAAAGAGGAAGATAAATAAATCACGAGAAATACGAAGGGGAAAGCGATAGAGAAAGAGAACCAGCAAGTGAAAGAGAGGGAGAGCAAACAAAAGGAGAAGCATCAAGATCAAATGCAACACGAGATAGATGAACTGAGAGATAAAGAAAGCAATAAAAACAGAAAGAACAACATAAACACAGCAACACATAAAGAAGCAACCAACACATAGACAGCAATATATTTAATTTTAAAAAAAAAGGAGAAAAAAAAACAAAAGGGAAAAAAAAAAGGCGGACAAAAGAAGCGCGCAACAAACTAGTGGAGAACCAGGGGTGCTCCAATGCACAGGGTCCGGGATGGAGGGTGTGGCTTTCGCAGTTGGCCCAAAGCGAATGGACCTGGTCGCCTCTGAGTTTTGCCGCGATTTTTGGCCCCCCCAAAAGGCCAGAAATGTATTTCCAGGTCCCGGCTGAGAAAACGGGAGCCTTCGGGAGGGGTTCGAGCAGGTGTCAGTGTCCGTGTCCGTGGCCTTAAGCTTGGACTCCCCAGAAGGATACTCGAAGGATCCACACATTTCTTTCAGCTGCACGTACTCTTGGAGAGGCTCTCTCCACCATGGACTTGTGTGGACCATGTTGGCGGACAAGCTTGAACTTTTTCCGGCCAAGCCACTCCAGCGGGGGCAGAAGGAAGCGTGGATTTAGATCTCGATCTTTCTCACGGGGAGTTGTTCAGTCTCCTGATCATATGACCCCTGACAATCTTGGTGAACAAGAGGCTCCAACATCTGAACACCTGATCAAAGTGGGAACCTCGCAACTCATCCTTCACGGAGCCCTCGTTTCGGAACCCCTCTTGGATCCCCCATCTTAATCTGCAGGGTCTACCCCAAAAGACTAAAGTGACTAAAGGTGGTTATCCTTTTGGCTTCAATTCAATCTAAACCAGCCCCAAAAAGGGACCCTCAAAACACACACCCAACTGCGTTCGGGGTCGACCCCTGAATCGGTTTTCACTCGACCCGCGCCGCACCCAGGAGATCAACCGCAACACCGCGGAAGAAAGCGTCTACGACTCCAAAGTACGTCGTTTAGCCGATGAGTCTCGGCAAGAACGGACTTTCTCGAGTCCGGCTGGTTGTTTTCCAAAATTGGGACATCTCTTCGGTTTTCTCATTTTCCAACTGGTTTTCTTCACTAGGTCCCCCAGGATCGTGCCCTTTTGCCCTTTTTTGGGGGAGGGCTCCCCTACTAAAATAGACAAAACCGAAAAAAGAAACGGTGCCCTTATTCCAACCTCTCTACTGGAGGACCTAATTTTCTGCTTTTCCACTTGGTTTCCTTGCGACATTTGGATCGCCTCTCCAGAAGCGGAAGCAAAGCACCCAGCGACTCGTACCGACTCTAGGATGCCCTGCGCCGGCGCATGGAGGCAATTGGGCCGAATCGGAGCCTCGACAGGTGATCGTAAGGGACAGTCCCCAGCCAAGGATCCGTTGCAACCGATCCATGTACGTAGGCAATATATATATATATATATATATTGGTCCCCGAGTAGTGCCCTTTTACCCTGTTTGGGTGTTCCCCGACTACAAAAAAGAAAGGGTACTCTTCTTCTAACCTCTCTACTGGAGGACCCAGCATACCATGTCACACATTTGGAGGGTGAATGTGGGTAAAAATTGCATGCATGACTTATTCGGGTATAGTTGCCGCCCTTTTCATTTATGACATGTTTGTTTTCAGAAGAACCGTGGACCCCTTGAGTAGGTTTTGAATGTCCTTACTCTCCACCTTGCTGCCTTTTGTCAAGCCCTGGACCCGGACCTGTGGACCGTTTAGACACGTTGACCGGAGATTGGTTCAGAGTTGCTTGTCAAGAACAAGGTGCCAGGAATGGTCATAGACCCTTGTAGAGAAAAATTAGATGCTCAATATTCATATGTGCAGACAGCACCCTTTGAGACCTTCACCCAAATTCCCTCAGGGCAAACGATCCGAACCTCAGTGTGTAAGATATATAGGTCTTTTCTGGGGTGGCCTTTAACGACTCTGCTAAACGACGGGCGGTTGATTACTTGCTTTTCTTCTGGGCTACATATTTGGTCATGATCCCCACAGCTACACTGCGATTGCTTACTTACAGCTCCAGGCAAGTGAGGACTACCTTAGTGGCACATGGCTTGCTTGGTATACTGTGGTAGCGGATGCATTGTGGATGCATGAATCGCACAATGTGTGTGTGCGTGTGTGTGTGTGTGTTTACACGTGCGGACCCAAAGGGGGCAAGCACTTGTCTTTCCGCTGGCACGCTCGGGATTTTGTTTGCAAATGTTTTTACATGTTCAGCACATGACTTTGCACCTGTGGACTAGAGTCCAACATACTGTGCATGGACGAAAATTCCTACCACCTCGCATGGATGGATCAACCACCCACCAACTGGCGCAGGATCCAAAGTGATCCAAAAGTATCAAGTTTTTTTGTTTTTTTTTTGGGGGGGGGGGGTGGGAACCTCTGTAGGAATGAGATAAACCACCAACCAACCGGTGCAGGATCCGCCCAAAGTCTCATTTTCGCTTAGGGCAGCCGGGCTGCTGCTATTGAGACGTCCGTGAGGCCGAAATGGCTGATGCCCGGCAAGACATGGAGAACCGCATCCGAGACTTCCACGTCGAGGCGCGGGTCCCCCCCCGCCTCGCTAGCCCGCTTCTTCCTCTCAGAATGGGGATGCGGCATTTTGTTGGGGGGGAACCTTCTTCTGGGCTTTCAAGGAACCCAAAAGGAAAGCAACGATTTTGGGAAGGCACCGCAGGCTCCGAAGGTCAATTAGCCAAGGAAGCCAAATCCATCAGCTTGGAGGGTGCACGCTCGAGAACGTGGAACACCGACCCACTCGGTTTGCAGAGCCTCATGCAAGAACCTCTTGGTTTCGCGTTAAACCCACGAGGGAAAGAATATATGAACCACACTGCTGACTGTATCAACCCAACAAGTCGCTTCCAAAGACACGTCCTGGTTGATTGTCGACCTCCAGCAGAAATGTGAAAGTCCCTGTCAGCCGAGCGTACTCCGACTTGGGTGGTGGAGTATGCGCGACTGAAATGGCAGCGGTTCTCTCTGGTGTGCTTGCGTATCAAGCTCCCAACTAGAAGCGGGCTCCTGCTTTGTGTTTCTCTCGAATTCATCTGGTCTGCCCCCGCTGTCACCAAATCACCGTAATTTCTTGGAAACAACCTGCACAAACAGCGTATTAGACCCACACAAAGTGAAGAACTTGTTGAAAGAGCAGTCAAAACCGGCCAAGAAAAGGACACACCCACATGGATGCATTGTCAAACCAATAAATCACGAGCTTCATGGATTCGCTTGGGATGTGTTCGGCTGGGCTCATGGCGCAGGTGGATCGCCGCATGGAAGCCCAGGCAGTACGAGTGCACGCCATCGTGGAGGCGCTGAGTGGGTGGAAGACCAAGCGACTAGAAACCAGAAGTTGGGATGAGTTTGAGGTTGGGGTTGGGATGAGTTAAATTTTCATGGTGTTTAACAATACAAGAATTGTAGAAAACATATTTTATGTAAAAGTTAAAGGGTTGACCATCCCTACTCAGCCAGTCAGAAACAAGTGGAGAGGGTCTTGGAAGTAAATTTGGTCCTAGCTGGTTCCAGGTGTATCACCATATAGCATAGCCCACAAAAGGGGCATGGGGAATCCACCACGGGTGCGGAAAATAGGGCACCCGAGAATCAGAGATGAATTCCACAATCCAAAATGACCTCTGGATGTTTTGTGGTATTGGGTTGCAAGCATCGAAGGTTGCTAAAGCTAAGTTTTAGCGCTGATGCTCTACGGCGGAATCAAAAAGCCGCGAGCGGCAGTGAATAGGTGTGTCTCAGACTTAGGGAAGCCCCAAATGGTTGGTTGTTGGTTGGTGTTTCCGAAGCCAGCCAAAAGTGGGTTCCAGCCCAAGTCAAGACACTAGCCCATATGGTGGCTCCTCCTTGACATGAGAGACCTATATGAGTTTTTGCTTGTGTCTAGGCTGGCACTTCGTTCCACACGCCAGGAGCGTGTGCAACAGCAGCTGGATACCATTCTGGTGGCAGAGATGGAGAAGGAGAGCGGGCTTTGAATAGGACGCGTGGACCTGTTCTGCCAATGTTTGGGAGTTGTAACTCAACCAAGCAGCGCCCAAACCTCCAGAGGGGCAATGTTTAGTAGGTGGTTCTAAGTTCTACAACCTTGTGTTCAAGGGTAACCTTGAACACCATCTTGGCACCAGAATTCAATGGTTTTTGGGCGCTCAAATGATCAAAGAGCACTCTCCTTGGCAGGTTCCTTTTTAAGTGCTCCTTTCAAAACCAGGCAGCACTTCATTCGGTTCTCCTGTTTCATGATCTGAACCCACATGCTTTGGGCAAGGCCCAGTCAGGTTTGGCACAGGCCTTTCCGGGGTCCATGGCTGGCGATGACTTGTGAAAGGGACCTTAACCACACAACATGTCATGGGGGTTGGGGGAGGGGGAGGGAGCCCAAAAAGGCCCTAAGTACGGCCTTATGAGGGCTTAATAAGGGCTTATTGGGCTCTCTCCTCCTCCCAACCCCCCTGAACATGAGAGGCTTGGCAGAACACACACACACACTCACAGAACTATGGGCCCGAGCAAATGCTGATACCTCTGAATTCGGCCCTTGAGCGGAATCCCAGTGACATGAGGCCCGTGGTCAACAGTTTCCGTTTGTAGAAAATGGAATGACATTGGATGCACTTCAAATTAAGATTAGGAAGTGGCAGTTGCTCACCAAAATCCGATGCGAGTTGTCAGCACAAGAAGTATTGACTGTGGCTCACATACAAACTGTCCATTTTCACCATTTTCACCTTGGCAAGTGGAGTTGTTTGCTGTTTGAGGCTCAGCACCCTTTTTGAGAGTTGGTTCAAAGGGAAGCCAAGCTGAACAAATCGTGGCAAGAGAACACATCCCAGTTGCCCAGTGGCGCCCTGTTTTCTTTTTTTGGGGAAAGGTTCCCCTTAAGACTTAGCCAGCCAAAAAGGATGCCCTTTTTTCCATGGCCACTGGGCATCTGAGAAATGAGTTGATCATCCCAAAAACATTCCAACCCCTTTGGATCGTGTTGAAAGGAAGGACCGTGGCAGCTCTCAATCTCGTCTCCAAATAGCGGAACTCCCGTGTGCGTTGGGTTTCCATGTGCTGGCCATGTTTAAACAACTCCCGTCCAAACAAAAAGAGGATACCAACGCAAAACACCGACTGCTTGGTGTTCAACCAACTTAGAAAGACAAGAACCATGAGATAGTCCCCTTACATCCATGGTTAGATTCTTTTTTCCAGTAGCCATCCTCCCACTAACAATGGCACCTGAGGTCACCTTGAAGATCAGTTTAGGTCAGTTTCCTCTTTGGAGGGAGCCCCTCTGCCATTTCAGTGGGAGGGAGGGTGAACTCCCTATGCCAGACATTGAGGGTGGACGGAATCCTGCACCCAAGAATCCCTGGAACGATTCCCCACCAACAAACAATGGCTTCCCATGGCTCCTTAGGTGCGAACTGGATTTCGAGTCACCATCCACAGTTCTAAGAAACCAACCGGAAGTTCTACCGGAATCTAGCCAAATCTTGTTTTTTCGAATTTGGCGAGAATGTTTGTTTCCTGGTAGATTTTGGGGAATTTGGCCAATTAAAATGTTTCCTGTCAGGAAGAGGTTCCCTTTGGGATTCGCCTGGGTTTCTTTGGCCGAGTCGGCTTGGACGCCTTTGGCTCCTCTGCCTCGCCAGGTGCGCGTCATGGTGGAGGAGCGCGTGCAAGGCCGAGTTCGGCAGGCCATGAGTTCGCCGCATGCGCGAGCCGAGTTCGGACGGGAGGAGCTCGGAGCGAACTGGACACTCGGAGAGGTCCCGTTGGTGGGCTAAAACCCGAGGTCTTGGGAAATTGCCATGGGAAAAAGGCTGGGGGTCAATTGTTGTATGCCTGTTTTTGGGAGTGAACGTCAGAAACTGGGGTAATTGGCCTTTAAACTTCCGTTTGGGGTGGGTGGCTTTGATGGTAAAGTATCGGCAGAAGCATGAAGTCTGAACTGTTTCTGGCCATGCCGCTCGGGAAGCGAGTTGCGTGAGAACAAAGGGGACTGGAATCCACCTGGATGGCGGAAAATTGGGAATCCACGTATTTGGAAGGGGAAACTCAAGGCTGTGATAATAAAGGCCGCTGTACGCTAAGCCAATAGACCACGCGTACTTCCACTAAACCAAGGGAATGGTGTACGGGAGCCCAAAGATTGAGCTAAGATCGGCTTGTGCCTCGCCCTTTCGATTAAATTCACCACATGGATGGTTTGTGTCCAGGAAGCCAGCATTCTTGGATGGGATTGAAGGGGAACCGAAAGAAAGCCACCCTTCGCCAGAATCAGAGCCAGCAAATATCTCACAGTAAGTTAGCTCAGTATAGAAAAAACAAACAAACATACAAATGATGGAAAGCACGAGGGTAATTCGAAGAGTTTGGATTGTTTCCTTGTGACTTGGGTGTACCTGGCGAGTGATCTCACCACTGGAACCTCACATGAGTGGGCAACGAGCTGAGTTGCTCGTGTCAGCGAAATAAGATGCTTGTCAGGTAACCCCTTGGTGGTGTGGATTTGTGATAGCCCCTTCAAGGGCTTTGGTGACAGGCACTGCCGAAAGTCCTATCGGCACAAACCTTCTTTCCGCTTTTTCTGTGCATGCGGGCATGTGTGTGTTTGTGTGTATTGTGAAGAGTGCCCTTTGTGGGGCGGTTGCAAAGGGAAACCAACAGGAGAGCGAGCAAACTGCGAGGGTCCCCCTATTTCTGACACCATGATCTGCCCCCCGCCTGCTTGCCGCCGTTTCGCCCGAGCGGGCTGGCTCAAACAGTTCGCAGTGCTCTGGGCTCTGGATCAACTTAACCAATGATCCAATCGGTGGGGAATCTTGGGATGGACACTTGGTGTTTGCGCAAAAAAAAAGAGCAAGACGCTGAGAAGCCCAGGACCAGCCGAACCGTCAGCCAAATGGCTGAGTGTGAGCTTCGAAGTTGTTTGAGGTCACCTCAGGTTTTGGTGGTCTTGAAGGGACAGCGGCTTTCGGTGGGCTGGATCTTTCAGTGCCCTTTCTCACCCTTTGAGTAGGGGGAGGGTTCCCCTACTAAAATCGGCCACAGCAAAAAGGAAAGGGTACCAACTTATTCTAACCTCTCAAATCTGGAGGACCTGGTGGGTATCACAAGACAAATCCCCCGCCTTCCGTTCGATGGAGCTCATCAGCGAGGAGGCTCTCGCCTTGGCGCTGGAAAGCGGCGCAGAGCTCATCGCGGCGCTGGATGCGGTGGTCGAGGAGTCGAAGGAACCTTTGGAGGGCAACATCCTGTGCCATGGCTGGCCGCCTTGAATTGTTTGGGGTCTGATCCCACAACCTCACATGTTTCCTCTTGGTTTCCCTTTCAACCAGCCCCAGAAAGTTTGGTAATGTATTATTCTAGGTCCCCCCAGCTAGGAGCCAGCTTTGAACCGTTTCTTTTTTTTAATGGGGGCACCCGCTATTAAAATAGACCACAGAAAAAGGAAAGGGTATCTCTCTGCTGGAGGACCTAGTATTTGTTTGGGAATCTAGATGTTGAGTCCCCCCGTAAAGCAAAACTTGTGGCGTAGGTTCGGCCCTGCAGAGCTTGATAAATGTTGACCCAGGATTGATAAACCCGTCCCAGTATTTGGGGGGGGTGTTCCCTCCAAAAGTGGTCCGAATCCCCACTAAAAGGGGACACCCCCCTATTAATCAACCAGAGGCTTATTATTCCGGGGTTAACATTATTTGTTTGGGGTTGTAGATGTTGATTCCCCCGTAAAACAAAACCTTTGGGATATATGGTTGCTCCTTTCCAGCTATGTGAGGAGTATTTTAAGGGGACTTGGTCAAAGGGACATTCAAGAAGCTTCTATTTGGGTGCTAGGAAAGGAATGGACCCCAACAAAGTGTTGGTTTTCCTTTGACTTCCTTCTACCATCCGGAAGGGGTCCTTGCGTTTTGGACACGAAATATTATGAATGTGTGCCTTGTGTTTGTTTTTCTTGCACTTGTTTTTCAAATTCATGTCGGGTGCATGTTGCTCAAGCCATGTCTGCGTTGGTGCTCAATGGGTGCTGCGGGTTTTCAGGGAAGCAGTCAGAACTTGGAAACCTGCCTCGGTTGTCTAGCAGTCCTACTTCCCCAAAAAGCTTTCAATACCTTGGCCTCGTCAATCAATGTTTCCACTCATTGTGATTTAGTAACAATCCTTGACGTCGGCAGGTGTAACCCACTTTGATATAGCAGAAAGGGCTACTTTTCACGATTACCGGCTTCACTGGCCGGATTCTTTCGCCGTCGATTCACTCTTGCCACGTGTTGGTGACTTTGTCCTCATCATATTCAACCATTGAGCGGCAACAATGTGCGTAGACTGGATGCACATGTAGCATCTGCACAGTTTGAACATATTTCTTTACATCCCTTTTACCAGCTCGCGCCCCCACGTCCCGCGGCGGTGCCGACGAGCTTTTCTTTCCAAGCTCCCAGAGCTCCCCTTGCTGCGAGCAACTCCGGTGGCCTCCGGAAGCCCCCAGCTCTTTTCGGCTCAACGGATGTGGCCATGGGTCAAAATCCAAATCGCATTTCCAGTGAGCATCCCAATCCCCAGTAGAATAGGTTCTAAAATGGGTGGTGCACCAGGCCCCCAAAATGGGATCCCATTGGTTTTGACCACCGCCATGTTGCTCCGAGGTATATGCACCAGAGCCTCGAGCAGAACCCCAAGAACCTGCCCAAGCAGCGGAACTTGTTCAGCCTGGCGGCCTCTTTGCCTCTGGAAGACAGCGTCGTCATCGAGGCCTGCGGATTTAATTCCAGGTTGCCTTCCAAAACTCGGTTTTAAGGGAACCCACCAGAGTGCAACTGATTCGGTTTTAAGGGAACCCACCTGGCAACTAAGGGGGAAATCTGAAATCCTGTTTGGGCTCGCGGTTCTTGTTCTTGAGTGGGACCCAGGGAGGCAAGATGTTAAAGCAAAAGACAAGAAGAACATGGCCCCACCAACGAGACAAGAGGCGGTTCAAGCCTCAAGTTTATATAAAGGGGTTGGCCGAGTCCTGTACCCAAACGGCCTTTTGCTTTGTTCATGGTGGAAATGTATAGGTTTGTTTCCACTAGCAATCAGTGTCTATTTGAGCTTGTCGTTTTTTGGGTAACCAAAGCTTTGTTTGATGTCTGAAAGAAGCCGAAGAAAGCCCTTGCCAGTTTGAGGAGTGCAAATTCCCTCTGACTCTCAGTCTTTTTTTTTTTTTTCCCACTGCACTGGCGGCTTCCCTCTCACAAGTGGGTCATCAATCAGGTAGCCCTTCGTTGGTTGGGATTGGAGGCTTGAGTCTGTCTTGGGTTCTTTGTGGGAGGTTCTTCGGGTCTCCCACCCCGGAGCGCCAAACCAGCGGGCTCCAAGCCACCGATTCGGCAAGCCACGCCACCGGGCTTCAAGGGAAACGAACTCAACCGATTTCACCCAAGCACCCAGAGGTTTTGCTTCGGCCGGAAATCAATCAGCGAGAGGGGAGGTTGAATCCGGTTCACAGGGAAAGCCTCTGGTCTGTGAAGAAGGCTACGACAGGGCACTACAGGTCGTTACTTGAACCTACTCTGGCCATCCAAGACTTCTACTTATATATGCTATACACCAGCTCGATGAGAGATGAAAACCACTTGGGTTTGTCTCCAAATTTTGGGGACCCCCGGCAAAGATCTCAGGCCCGAGATCCCCAGCTTGGCCAGTTTCGACGCAGGGCTCCTTTCGGCGTTTTTTTTTTTTTTCAGGAGAGAGGGCTGAAGCTTCAGCTCACTCCCTGAGTTCATGGACTTTACACTTTTTGGGATTTTGGTGGTAAACAAAAAGTTTGGACTTTTTTTGGCCAATCAACTCAGGAAGCGAGTCAGAGCCAGAGAACCTGTTGAAAGAACCAACTGTCCTTTGTTGATCGCATACTAGGTCCCCCAGTGCCCTTTTGATCGCATTTGCCATGATTTGCCCACGAGCTCCAAAGCTATACTTTACACTTTTCCTTTGAGAACCGGGATTTGGCTCCGAAGCACCGGCGCAAGTCGCTGAAGCTCTGCCTGAACTTGCCCCCGGGAGTTTCGTTCGCGGCGACTTCCAGTTGCTTAAGAATATGTTGTTAGTTTCCCCTGTTGGTTTCAAACGGAATCGACCACTACTGGAAATATATATATATATATATATAAATATTTGTTCCAGGGGTCTTGAGCAAATGGAGGCTGGTTTTTTTCTGTAGCAACCCAACGGAACTTCGGAGTTGCGGACCTGAGGGCGGATCTGCAAATCGAAACCGAAAGACCCCCTCAGGTGGGCTTCAACGCGGGGCACTCGAGCCTCCTGATGCTCCTGGCCCACCCCAAGCTGCGGATCATCGCCTTCGATCTCGCAGAGCACGCCTACACCAGGCGCGGCCTGCCGGCTTCGCAACTGTTGACTCGAGACATATGGCCATGGGGTCAAAACCCCGGTTATCCCCCAGTGACATCCCAATCCCCACTAAAATCGGTTAGAATGGGTGGTGCACCAGGCCCCCAAAATGGTACCATGGCCTTTCACATCCCTTAGACTTTTGTATTGATATGCAAAAGTCTGTCGAAGACATCGGAGTTTGCAACCTCGAGGCTTGGAACGTAAGTTGGACCCACTCTAGAATCCTTAAGTCAACCCTACAGGCACTACCGGGGGGGGGGCGTTGGGTTGGCTGGGCTTGTGGCCTCCTTTTCACCGTGCCTTGGGAAACCTTGCGGATTTGTCTGGGATTGCAGGCGTGTCTTTCCACGGGTCTGCCTCTTGAGTTTGTGTTTGCTTCAGGTTCGGATGGGTCCCTCCCGTTGGTGCAGCCCCTGTTTGTGAGCATCCCCGTTTTTGCTTGACAAGCCCTTGCAAGTGGCGCCCATCGGCATGTGAATCAACCCTTCGATGGTAGGTGGCTTCCTGCGGGGGAGTTTGGCTGGCCACCAAACGCGGATCTCGGGCTTTCACGTCGGTTTGCCTTTCATCAAACCCTAAAAGACCAGTGGAAGACACAAACACATTTGTTTGTTATTTCAGCTGGGAGAGTTTGTTAAGCCAGATACCCAGATTGCGTCAAGCTGAGTTCTGGAATCCCATTTTGAGGGTACTCTGTTCGGGGTGAAGGATTGCATGAAGCTTGCCTGCAGAAGGCACTACCTAGAGGGCGTAATGTAGCACTATTTTTCGGTTTTTCCATAAAAACCAAAAATAATTGGTTCAACCAAAAAATCCATGTATTGTCTTGCTGCATGCCAGCATTGAAAGCGAGGTAGAGAAACTGGATACACCAAATCTCTGGCTCTGTACAGCAGACTGGGCAGGTATTCCTGTTTGTGCATCATCGTACACCGCGCATGTGTCACGCCTCAGTATACCGACAAAGCCATTGCGACACGTAGCACAAAAGTCTCGGTCGGCTGTGTGACTTGCGTTTTCACTTGAGAATTATGCCTTGTTGATGGGTGTTTTTGCCCCTTGCTTCTGGTTGGCAAGTATGCAAAGCGTCATGTAAAAAGAAAAAGAAAAAGAATAATAACAAAAACGAAAAATGAGAAGCCGCCAATAATCCATGCACATCCAGTTTGTTAAAACAGAGAGGTAACGCATCTGGAGTCACATGGCAAATTGCGTTCTGTAGTAGGCATTGTTTGTGAAATGAGTCGGCCAGTCAAGAGATACAGCAAACGTTGACCACATATGCAAGGAAGCAACCTCTGAAACGCACATGGGACTAAGCAAGCATGTTCGTGCATGAGCTCTGTTCAAGCCGTACGCACAAACACCCAGCATGTTATATGAGCCGAGCTAACAGAACAAGGATCCTAGACCCATTGTTGCCTCATTAAGGCATGATGTTGTGTGGCCACTCTTTCCTGCACCCTTCAACGTACTTCCAAACAGCAAAGTGTGTCCAACCGCGACTTTTCACAGGCAAAGCTCGCGCAAGATTGCGCCGGGCAACCAAAAAAAGCGCCGGGCAACCAGTTTTTCGCGCAATCTTGCGCAATCTCGCGCAACATGGGAGTTTTCCAGGCATGCATTGAAGACCACGTTTGGCACATTGTTTTGCCATAGTGCGAGGATATAGAGACTCATTCTAATTAAACAGCATCAAAGCAAAAGTTGCTATTTGAGAAATAGTGTAAATTTGTCAATCTAGCTTTGTCCAAAAATGTCATTTTGGGGGCACGCTTTCCTCCGCCTGCTTGATGCACAACCTAACGCAATGTGTTTTCCAATCATTTCCTCGGGCGAGAGGTTTCGTTACGGTTTCAGCCGCTTGGCGAGATTGCGCAAGATTGCGCGGAAAACTGGTTGCCCGGCGCTTTTTTTTGGTTGCCCGGCGCAATCTTGCGCGACCTTTGCCTGTGGAAAGTTGCTGTTGGACACATTTTGCTGCCTGGGGAAGCCTGTGGTAAAGCAAGAACGGGTGTTGAAGTGTTGGCGCTGCACAGTATCCTCGATCGTACGGGGGTGCCATGTGTTGGGCATGCTTGCTCCCATGGTCCGCGCTTCGCCCAGAAAGAGCATGAAAGAGCGACATGTCCCAGCCCAAAAGCATGAACTGGTTGATGGATTGAGGCTGGCGCGGTCTAATTTTAAGTATTTAAGGCGGTGGCGGCAGCAGGTTGTGTTCCGTTGCAATACTTTGTGCCGGAGTGATTGAGCTTCTCCCATGTTCCCAGGTCAAGTTGTTGCTTTCTTTGGCAAACCGGTAAGGTGCGGCCACTTGCCATGTAATCGTGCGCGCTTCAGGCAGCCCGCGCAAGCTGAAGGAAAGTGTGTGTGTGTTTGGCTCTGAAGCATTTGTGCGATGATGTGCTTGGCAGCATGCCCCCTTTCTTTAAGTTTGCACCCTGCACGCGCAAAGAAGAATGGGCTCGTCGGAAAACAGGGGTCACGGTTTGGGACACGCACCTTGCTTACACACACACACACGCCAAAAGCGTTAGGACAACCTACTCATTTTAGAATATTTTAGATGATCCGTTGGCCAATGCAGTTGAACCCTTTGGCAAGTCACGTGCCTGTTCAAAGGTGTTTGTGCGCACGTTTGAATGGAACACCGCATAGCGGCGTGATACACAGGTGGCAGCTCGCCATGTGGAACGCATTGTCACGCGCACGTCATACTTTGTCAACAAACGTTCCTGCCCCTTGCTTCAGGCTGACAAGTACGCAACGCGTCATGAAGAGTCCAGCACATAAAAAAAGGCGAAGGCGAGGATGCCCTTTAGAAGGTGTGTGATCTTTCATGAAATCTATTCTCAGTCAGGAAGATTTAACAACAAATTTTCACCACGCAGCAGCTTCGAGGCCCGTGCTGGAGCCAAGTCGCAAAAATCTCAAGCAAATTGCTGGTAGTCGTTTGATTCGGTGCATGCAGACCTGGTACTGCAAAAATGAGCTTCCGACCCCAAAATAATTGGTTCAACCAAATGACGGAACCAAAAAAAACAAGGGAACCAAAACAAAGTACTACATTTACCCCTCTAGGTAGGCAAGCCTAGGAACCACATGAGAAACAGGGCGTATTTAAGTGGTCATGAGATGTCCTCACAAAAGGGGCTTTGTTTTTGGTGGGTTTAAGTTAAGAACTACTTGCAATATATACCATGAGATCACACATTTACCATGGGTTGGGGCCTTAGCTTGCATAGCCTTCTTTGGAAATTCATATGAGCTCATATGGTTCGGGGAATGGATGCTGGCTGAATTAACCAGAGAACCGCTGAGTCCAAATAGAAACATGATTTGGCAACTCGTTGCTGTGTTCTAAGTAGCAAGCATTATGCTTATGCCAAAAGAAAACCCAAAGGGGGATGCCCCCCAAATTCAATTCAAAAACCACCCCATTTTGATGTAGCCTCAAAAAATGAAGTCCGTGCGTGTATGTATATGTACATAGATGAGTACTTGCTGTTGTGATGGAATTAATGCAGTTGTGTGCGGCTCATTACTTAGCAGAGAGCTTGAACGACAGTGGAACAAATGTTTCTTGTTTTGCTTCTATTCATATTTAGTAGGCTGCAATAACAATCACCAGTTTTTGTTGCAAGCCCATACTGTGGATGAGCGAAATCCTGTGGGCAACCCTGGAATGATTTGATTCCCCTGGCCCTGTAAATGCCAACAAAACATGGTTTCACTCATGGTGCGAGAAGCGGATTTCGCGAGCATCCAGGGAACCAAAACAGAGATGGAGCCAAGAAAAACATGGAACTCCATAGCAACCACGGTATCAAGGGAACTATCTGCAGTTTTCGAAAACGGAGATGGAACCAACATCCATGAAGCTCCATATGAACCGGTTCCAACCAGAAATGGAACCCAAATCCATGGAACTCCCTCTTCAACCGGTTTGGAAACACGATTCTGAAGGCCAAACCCAACTCCATACTGTGGATGGACGAAATCCATTTCGCACCACTTTGAAACCATGGTTGAAACCACCGTTGGTTGGTATTTATGTTGGGGAATCATCAGAAGCCAGACTTTCTTAGGTGGTGCAAGATTTCGCAACCATCCACAGTATGAATCAAGTGATGTTACTCCCCACAAAAGGGGGACCCCCCCCTATTCATCCACCAGGGGTTTATGACTCCGGACTGGCGAAAACTTGTCAAAGCCTCAGGCCCTGCTTCGACCGTTTGGCGGCCGCCTTCCCGGGGCGGCTGCAGCTGGTGCCGGGCCGGTCCCAGCAGACGCTGACGCGCTGGGCCAAGGAGCCGGCGCAGAACTTGGCGCATTCTCCCCCCGTCATATGTTTTTTTTTTTTTTTCAACTGAATCTATCACCAGTCAATGAGTCAAGGAAATTTTACCGGGAATTTTCAAGAACCAGTCGAATGGATTTGTGGGCGCTGTTCAACAGCTAGGTCCCCCAGCTAGGTGCCCTTTTAGCGTTCTTTTTGGGGGAGGGTTCCCCTACTAAAATAGACGACAGAAAAAGTCGGTACCCTTATTCTGACCTCTCTATTGGAGGACCTAGACTGTCAGGTTACCCTTAGTTGGCTTGGATTGGTAGGACAAGACCATAAACTCAGAGCAGGACAATTCCTGTGCTACAATAGAGCATGCCCCCCCCCGCGGTTACCCCAAATTGGTGGTTTGGGTTGGTTTCGGGGATTTGCAGCCCTGGTTCTTGAGGGTAAACGAGAAACTACCCAGAACCACCAAACTAATGAAAGTCACCTTTGGCCAGGGGCTACCTGGAGATTTCGAGAGCCATTGTAAGGGTTGGGAAAGAAACCGTGGCGCACGGAAGGAAGACAACTAGGTCCGCCAGCTAGGTGCCCTTTTACCGTTTCTTTCTTGGTTGGGAGGGTTCCCCTAAGATAGACTACAGAAAAAGAAACGGCACCAACTTATTCTAACCTCTTTTTTTTGGAGGACCTAGAGAATTTTAAAGGGAATCTATCACTACTGTCAGGTCAGCCCTTAGTTGGTTTGGATTGGTAGAAATCCAAACCAATCAAAGTCGCCACTGGAGGACCTAGACCACCTGCCGGGCTCCAAGCCACCGAACGAGGGAAGCTGACTTCGTTCAGGAGAACTCCTTGCGGGCTGACCTGGTGCATATCGACGGGGACCATGCAGCTCCTGCCGCGAAGGTGGGTACCCCCGCTTGTGAAACATCTGTAGTTTAGGGAACCCAAAAGGAAGCCCTTGCCATTTTGGATTTTGGGGTCCTATTTTGAGATGGACACATGTTGCAACCATTTCTTGGTTGGGGTTGCTTCCCTACAAATGAACGGAAGGAACACCTTTGAAGGGGGGTCCTCTAAAAGCAGTTTCCTGTACAAGTGGGTGGGTTTGTTTGGGTTCCGCGCTAATCTGTACGGAATGATTGGGTTCTTGCTGTGGATGGACAGTGTTTCATGGACGACATCTTTTTTTCGGGTTTCATTCGCAAGTGCAGATGTTGTCCAGGGTGTTTGGCTGCAGCCAGGTGTCTTGGAAAAGTAGTGGCTGGATGGGAATCAGCCATGGCAAAAAGCAGAAAATGCGCATTCAGAGCCATGGTGGTTTTCTGTAGTGACCTTAGGGACTCAAGAGAGAGAGACCCAAAACGGACGGCCGTTTGGGACCTCCTTGAACTGTCTTATGTGTTGCCCCATGAGGGGTTCCAACTTGTGGGGTATCACAAAAACGGTCTTTTTCCCCCCGGAGTGCTTAAGGCTGGTTGGTTTCTTTCTGTCAGGCCCTGGAGCACCTCCCAACCAATCCAACCCACCCTTTCTGATTCAGGTCTGGGGCGTTTCTTGGGGGAACTCTCAACATGGATTTCGGAACCATTTTGGTTGGCAAAGGGAAACCAAAAGGAGTCCCCATGCCAATTGAGGGGACCGATCCTATTTTGAGAAACACCCAGTTGCCTGGAAAAAAAGGATACGTGCCCTTTACGCACGCTCCATGCATTTTGGGGTTTTGTCGCATTTTGAGGAATGGCTATTTTGCTGTTGCATCACCTTTGTGGGCATGCTGTTTGTTCCTGCGTTGCGGCTTTGTTCATAGTGGGTGGCTGCAAGCCTCACATGCCAACCCATGCCCCCGCACCAAGTGCACCCTCAAAGAAGACACACCCATATTGTTTTGACAAACTAACTGATATAGCCCAAATGAGAAGTTTCTTACTTGGAGGTTTGGCTTGGACAAGTTATAGGCACTCGGGTGATACAACCCCCCAATTGCCAGGTTAATCCCGCTTAGGGGGGAGTCGTATGTGGCTGAGAATCTGGGTTGCCGACAACTTACTATCTTGTCAACAAACACCCAAGTACGCCCCTCCAAAGTAACGGAAGGAAACCAGCAAGGGAGTGCATTTCCCAAAACAAGGTTCTTCTAGAGATGGATGGTGTTCTTGGTTGCATGTTCATTTGTAGGGGAGTATTGATTTCTTTCTGTGGACCAACATGTTACCACCAGGCCATATCCCTTCGGGCTTCCACGGGTTTTCCAGAGATGCGTGGGTGTGTGTTGGGCTCCACTTCTCTTCCATTTGCTTAAAATAATACGTCTTTTTTTGTGATAATTTCTCCCCTGTTGGGTTTTGAAGGGAACGAATATCACCGCTGGAAATTTATGTTTCTATTATTTTTCCAGGGGTCGAAGAAGCCAATGGAAGCTGATCCGCTTCTTTCGGCCCGCTGGCCCGGCCCCGGCGGATCGATCCCAGAGGCGGATCTGCAGAACGCGAGGCAGGCGGCGCGCGGCGGCGCCTGGGTGGTGTTCGACGACGTGTGCTTCACCCCGCTCAAGGCACCCGGCCAGAGATGAAGATGGGGGGGCCCGAGATTTGGCCCATGCCCCTGAAATGCAAAGCTTTGCAACTCGTAGTCATTGCCACGAAGCAACTTCTAGCACCAAACCCCTGAGATTTGATTCGGAAGGATCATGCGGATGGCGGCTGTCAATAGCCTCGGCTGTGTCCATCAGACAAGAAAACCTGGTATGTCACACATCCAGCACCCCGTTCTGCATCCAAATCGGGCGTCTCAAAAACGGAGAGAACATTTTTGTCTCACCAATAGATCAAAGGTATGGGAGCCGCCAACCGAGATCTTGGATGTGGGCCCTGCCGAGGTTCGCCAAGAAATGCATCCTGCTGTTGAAGGATAAATCCGCACCAATTGGTGCACTTATTCGAGTGTGTCTTTTCGAGGGTGCCCTGGGGCTTCAAAGGAAGGGCAAAGTGCCGGAGCGCCCCAAACCACGAAAAAGGTCATCCTAGTAGCTGGACTTGGTTTAATGAAGAGTATAGCCAAGACAAACCTTTGTAACCATCTTAGAACCAACAGTCAATGGTTTGCGGGCGCTGTTCAAAAGGTCCGTCGTGTTTTTGTGCGCTCTGTTCGCTGCAGGCGGTGTGGGCAGAGGCGTTGGCCAGCGGTCTGATCGTGGATCCCCAGGTGCCTGCCCAAGGTCCAGGGACTGGGAGTGCTGCAGATAGGTCACCAGAGACTGCAAGAAGCGGGGCTGGAACCGCAAGATTGTTTGTCATTACTTGTTTTTGTTGTTTTATTTATTTCTTATTATTAATATTATCATTCCAGAAGGGTTTCATATGTAAAACACAGTAGGGCCCACAGTGTACCCCTCTCTATTCGTATCATTGTTTTAATTATTATTGCTATTATTACAAGTAAGGCCCGGCAGAGCCGGGGTGCGGAAGTTTCCCAAATATATGATTCTATAGTTCTCTTTCTGTTTCTTTTTTGTTGACTCTTTTTCTCTTCTTCTTCTTCCTTTTCATTGTGTTTTTTTCTCCGTCATTCTTCCTTTCTTCCTTTCTTTCCTTTCTTCATCCCTTCTTTCCTTCTTTCTATCTGTCTTTTCTTTCTTTCTTTCGTTTGCTTGTTTTTGTGCTGTTCTTTCTTTTGTCTCTTCTCTGTCGATCTATCTGTCTATCTAGCTATCTATTTTTTCTCTAACTATCTGTCTACCTAACTATATACCTATCTATCTATCTCTCGTGTTATCTATATATCTGCTTATCTATTTATCTAACTCTCTATCTATCTTTTCTATCTATCTGTCTCTCTATCTCTCTATCTATATATCTACCTATCTCTCTATCTCTCTATCTATCCATCTATCTCTTTCTATCTGTCTATCTATCTATCTATCTATCTATCTACCTCTCTTTTTATTTATCTATCTATCTATCTATCTATCTATCTATCTATCTATATATCTATCTATCTATTTCTTTCTCTATCCATCTAATTATCTATCTATCTATCTATCTATCTATCTATCTATCTATCTATCTATCTATCTATCTATCTATCTATCTCTCTATCTCTCTGTCTATCTATCTATCTATCTATTTATTTCTCTCTCGTGTATTTATCCATCTCTCTATCTCTCTATCTATCTATCTATCTATCTCTATCCATCTCTCTATCTATCTCTCTATCTCTCTCTGTCTCTACCTATCTATCTATCTATTTATCTATCCATCTACTTATCTATCTATCTATATCTCTCTCTATCTATCTATCTATCTGTCTATCTATCTATCTGTCTGTTTATTTATCTTTCTATTTATCTCTCTATCTCTTTCTCTCTATCTCTCTATCTCTCTATCTCTCTTTCTATCTATCTATCTATCTATCTATCTATCTATCTATCTATCTATCTATCTATCTATCTCTCTATCTCTGTATCTATCTTTCTTTCTATTTATCTATCTCTCTATCTCTCTCTCCATCTCTATCTATCCATCTATCTCTCTCTCTATCTATCTATCTGTCTCTCTATCTCTTTATCTCTCTCTCTGTCTATCTATCTATCTCGCTCTCTTTCTCTCTCTATCTATCTGTCTATCTCTCTCTCTCTCTCTCTATCTATCCATCTATCTCTCTCTCTCCATCTCTCTTTCTATCTATCTCTCTAGCTATCTCTCTATCTGTCTATCGATCTATCTATCCATCTATATCTGCACTTAAAGTTGCGATTTTCAAGCCCCGAAAATTGACATCGCGTACTACTTTCGTACTTAAAAGTTGCGATTTTCGAGCCCCAGCTGCGAAAGTGGACTTCACGTACTACTTTCGTACTTAAAAATTGTGATTTTCCAGCCCCAGCTGCGGAAGTGGACTTCACGTACTACTTCCGTACTTAAACGTTGCGATTTTAAAGACGCAGCTGCGAAATTTGACTTTGCGTACTACTTTCGTCGAGACTTTCGTACTCAAAATTTGCGATTTTCGACAGTGGACTTCACGTACTACTTTCGTACTTAAAAGTTGCGATTTTCAAGCCCCAGCTGCGAAAGTGGATTTCACGTACTACTTTCGTACTTAAGTTGCGGTTTTGGAGCCCGAGCTGCGAAAGTTGACTTCGCGTGCTACTTTCGTACTTAAAAGTTGCGATTTTCGAGCCCCGGCTGCGAAAGTTGACCTTTCGAAAGTGCTGCGCCTGCCACGAAATGTATACTTGACCTTGCGAAAGTGGCGCGCTTGCCACGGTTTTTGCACTTGACCTTGCGAAAGTGTTGCGCCTGCCACGAAATCTATACTTGACCTTGCGAAAGTGCTGCGCCTGCCACGGATTTTGCACTTGACCTTGCGAAAGTGCTGCGCCTGCCACGAAATCTATACTTGACTGCTGCGCCTGCCACGAAATCTATACTTGACCTTGCGGAAGTGCTGCGCCTGCCACGAAATCTATACTTGACTGCTGCGCCTGCCACGAAATGTGTACTTGACCTTGCGAAAGTGCTGCGCCTGCCACGCAATCTATACTTGACCTTGCCAAAGTGCTGCGCCTGCCACGCAATTCAAACCTTGTGAAACCTGCGCGCGGCCGTGCCAGTGGTCACATCTCCGAACCCGTTCCGGGACTGTTCCGAGACCGTTCCGGGACCGTTCCGAGACCGCCTCCGTACAGGCGTCGCGACCGAGGTGGTTTGCGCACTGTCCGGAAGTCCAATTCACGCACAGCGCCAACGTTTCTGCATCTTGCTATCCCCCAGCTCGCAGAGAGTGGATGCAGCACCTTACGAAAGTGCTGCACCTGCCACAAAATCTGTACTCGACCTTGCGAAAGTGCTGCGCCTGCCACACAATTCAATCCTTGCAAAGCCTTCGCACGGCCGTGCCAATGTTCACATCTCCGAACCCGTTCCGGGACCGTTCCGAGACCGTTCCGGGACCGTTCCGTGACCGCCTCCGTAAGAGGCATCGCGACCGAGGTGGTTTGCGCAATGTCCGGAAGTCCAATTCGCGCGCAGCCCAACGTTTCTGCATCTTGCTATCCCCCAGCTCGCAGAGGCACCTTACGAAAGTGCTGCGCCTGCCACGAAATCTGTACTTGATCTTGCGAAAGTGCTGCGCCTGCCACGAAATCTGTACTTGACATTGCGAAAGTGCTGCGCCTGCCACGCAATTCAATCCTTGCGAAGCTTGCGCGCGGCCGTGCCAATGGTCACATCTCCGAACCCGTTCCGAGACCGTTCCGAGACCGTTAGAGGTTGGTTTTGGTGTACAGTGTACAGTTGGCTTTGGGGCTGATTCGCAGTAGGTTTGGTTTTAAGGCTTGGTTTTGGTGGCGGTTGGATTCTGGATTGGTTTAGGTTGGCTTCACGGCTGGTTTGACGCATTGTTTGCCCAGGCATTTGCTGGCCTGGAGGTGCACTCCAGCCTACGTTTTCAGGGCCAGCACGGGGAGGTGGGCTTTGTCGCTTTACGCAATTTTCCTTGGTTAGCTTCCAAGAACCAACCAGAAAGGTCACCAACTAGAAAGTTCCCCCGGGAGCTCCCTAGAACCAACCAGAAAAGTTCCGGGAGCTTCCCAGTATGTAGCTCGTAGTAAAACACGCGTTGCTGGGCTTGTCTGCTCGCAGGCCATGAACGTGGGCTGGGGCTCTGCCGGCCTCCTCCTTGGGGAGGATAGCAATGGCCAGGAGGAGCCAGAAGCCTAGCCCTGCTTTGCTGGCCCGTTCTCTTGGTTTTTAAACCGTTTGGTTTATATGAAACAGGGGTGTCGAGGCTTGGCAAATCCATTTTGCAGAGAAGAGCTTTGGTAACAATGGCATTTTGTAGAAGCATTGTTTGTGATTGTTTGTTTGTTGCGGTTGGATGGACGGACTTGGATGGATTTGGTGAATGGTTAGGCATGGTAGGTTGGTTTATCTACAACATGGTTAACGGGTATATTTACATATATATTCCGAATGAATTCCAGGCAACGCCAAACACATCCACTACAACATGTCATTCTTCGTATTCCACACACCAACATGCCGACAAGCCATCATATATAACAAAATCAGCTTTGTTTTTAAGGTTTCTTTTTTTCTTGGTTCGTGTGCCATGCTGAGGCCCTTGTCGCGGTTTCGCCTGGGATGGCTGCGGTGCGACCGGGACGAGCTGGCGCAGATCCTCGCAGAGGACGCGCTCCGATTAAAGACCCTCGTTTTTCCAGGCCGACTCCCGGCCAATACTACTGAAACAAAAGGCCCCCATCAGGTTTGCGGTTTGGCCAACAGACTCCTTTGCATGATTTGTTGGCACCCTTCCAAAACCCCCTTTGATTAAAGCCGCTCTCCGGCCCCCCCAGAAAAATCTGGAAGCAGCAGCAATAGCAGCAGAAGTCTTTTCCCATTGGCCAATACATACCAATACTAACTCCTTTGATAATCTCAAAGGTCGCCATTTGCAAAACACGAAAAATAGATAGCCGGAACCTCTCCCAGATTCCTAGGTAGCCTGGTAAGGCTCTTATAAGACCCTTACGAAAGGGGTTACCTATCTGGGGGGGTACCTGAAAATTCCCCTGACAGTTTGTTTTGAAAAAACAGGTTTGACAAGGGTACTCTGAAGCCGCCATAGGTGGCAAATGTGGTGATTTGTATCTTACGCTTGTTGTTCGGAGAGCCTTCTTGTTTTGCTGGGGCCTTGGGACATGAGGAATTACACATAGTTATGATTTCGGCATGCGTTGTGGTTGTGGCTTTGCAGGTTCCGCGTCATGGTCAGCACAGGGCAGTGCAAACCAGGGCTGTGGCACAAGATGAGTGTTGCCATTGCTGTCTGCGAGCTGCTGTTGCGAAATAATTGCTGAGCTCAACTGCCACCGTCACGTTGACAAGGCTCTGTCGCTTAATTTACCTATATGAACTCACCTTGAATTGCCCCAAGGCTCCGATAAGACAAAAAACGGGACGTTTTAACTTTAAGACTTAATTTAGGATTAAGCCTTAATTCCGGGTTAAATTTTAACTTGCCTCGGGGAAAAAAAAAGTCTTAAAGTTTAAAATTGAAATTAAGACTTTTTTTTTAACTTGAAAAATAACCTTGAAAACTGAAAAGAATCACACGCAATGTGTAGATAGATACTTATATATACAGAGCAATCCTAGCACAGAACCCTCAGCGACGCAGTCATATGCGCCTATACCGAA